TCTTCAATATGTGATCTGCCATGGGGAAGAGAGGTTAGGATGACAGCTGTTCATTACAATTCCTTCTTTATTAGAAGAGCTTAATTCTGCTTTTGGCTGGCTGGCCCATATCTGTTAGCTCTAACTCAAAACAGCACTACTAAAAGCTCCTCCTTCATGTCGGCATCTGTTTATTTACTTCCAATAACAAGCAAAAACAAAGCTTTCCACAATGCCATTTCACAGTGCTAGAAATGGTCTGCGAGCAAGGTTAACTGCTTGAAACAGGAAGAAATACTCTTACAGCTATGTCCAACTCTTGATGGGTGGAGATTCGTGGTCACTCACACCATCAGATTAGCATGAGGGGAGTTACATTTTTACATGTGCATCAAGATAAAAATATTCTCTATAGAATTGGCAGCTGAGGCGTGGAAGACTGTAGGACAAAACTGTTGAATGTACAGACATCATTTTTACCCTAATTTATATGTCATGCAACCCCAGAGACTTCATATGGCTGATGTGACTGTTATTTCAGTTTTCACATGAGAATTTGAATTCATGCATTTTTTTAAAAAAATGCTTTCCAGTTGAGTTTTTATATAGGGCAAGGTAGCATGGACAAGGGTATGGAAGTTTAACAGGCTTAAAGCCTTTTGAATTTATGTTTCAACTATGGAGGAGCTGGCAGGCAAATGCCTGCCATCATGGGTGCCTGAGGATAAACCCAAAATACTCAACCTTCCCCCCGGGCACCCTGAATAGAAGAGGCAACCAGGTGTTTTAGTCACAGAAGTGCTGCCTCCAGTAGGTGGTGCACTGTTTTCTATTAAGAGTGGCTAAGACACATGTTCCGGCATTGCAACTCGATTCCTAATGGAAGCCGTAATGCTTCTTAACGTTGTATTCATAACACATAAACTCTGTAGGCAATCTGGCAATGTACCGCTAATAGTTTCCTGTCATGCTGGATAGACCAGCCTTCAAACTTGAAGAAGAGCTCTGTGTAAGCTCGAAAGCTTGCCTCTCTCACCAACAGAAGTTGGTCCAATAAAAAATATTACCTCATCCACGTTGTCTCTACCATAAAATAGTAAGACCAGAAAAATAAGATACAAGAAATCAGTATGTCCAGAAAGTAGGTGCTAACTTTGTATGAACACATATTTACTGTTTAATCGCAGTCCTTTCTCAGCACATTATCCTTGTTTTCTTTACATAACCATTAAATACTGGGCTAAAATTAGGTCAAAAATTCCGATCAGATCAGCTGACTCGGTCCAGCAAGATGAGAGAGAGACTAAATTTTTGCTCAGTTCAGTATGAGGCATGTTTTATTTCTTTATTTCTTGATAATTACAAAATTATCCATAAAATATTTCTTCCATAATTAACGTATCAACATGTGTTGAATTAACAATCATACCAAAAGGTACATCAATGCCACTGTTAGCGCACAAATACAATGTGATGTAGCACTCCCAACCCTTTCTCAAGAAAAATGTATAATACAAGAGCATTTTAATTTTTTGTAGGTCATTTTTCACATTGTATTTGCAGAACACTGGCACCATCTAATGCATTTCACTGAACTATTTTACTTATCTTAAAAGGTTCTACCCATGGAACTGAGAAAATAAATAAGTTACTCCATCCTATTTTGTTAACAACCATGATCAACCTTTTTCTAAAAAGAATCATTTTATACTCAAAATGAATGGCTCCCAAAAATGGTATTATGAATTCCAGGGATTATTTTGAAAATTGTATCCTCAGTCATGAACACCTCTCAACCAAACCATAATATTTGTTTTGAGTTTTTTACCTTGGCACACTTCCTCATGTAGTCTCTGGTCTTTTCATGATTTTATGCCTGCATGTGTTCCCTAACAACCTCTGTCGCTCTCTAGATCACATGTGCAGGAACCAAAAGTAATCTAAAAGTCCAAAGAGTTAATAGTGCAAATACTTAAGAATAGTGGCATGAAACAAAGAGGGAAACTAATAATCCCATGCCATATTTTATGCCTGCCACTTGTCAACAGGGAACATGGCACTGGATAAATCCCTTGATGTCTCAACAGGGAGCAGACTTGCTAGCAATCAACTTAAGTGGCTTTTGATGTCATTGCTCTTTTAGACAAGTCAGATTTCTTCTAGATTATCACAGTTTTCAGTTCTCCTAATAAAAGGGGAGAATAGCCCCTCCCCCTTTCCCACCCCAGACTCTGTGCAGGGAAGCCTGTGGGAGGGAGCTAAAGGAAAGGAAAACTCCATCAGGATTCCTTTGAGGAAATTGTTATAACTTGTTTCCCAGCCCATGGAACATTCAGAAAGAGGCCAGGGCCATTTTCAAAGAGTTTTTATGCCTCCATGCAGATGTGGTGCCCCTCAGACATACCAGCTCCCTGGGTGTGTCTCTCCACTGCAAGCACTTCTGAAGCCAGCAACAGCCCCGAGGAGGATCCCTGCTGTTAAGGAGGGCTCCATCAGAATGGTACTGTAGCCTCAGGTTTTATTATCCTTCCTGAAAGACCGCTGGGTGGCATGATGCAAATCCATCCCCATATCTACCTCCACGCAACACACCCCTGACTCCTTTCTGCCTGAGAAAGGAGAGATTTTTACCCCACCGACCCATGCCTGGCACACAAATCTGGGAAGGATGGTCTGGCTGTGGGTGGTTGGCCTGTTTCCTCAGCCCAGGATGGACTCATTTCCACACCCACGTCGTTCTGGGCACAGTTTGATTGTTTGGTGGCTGAATTGAAAAATTAAAAACTAACTAACTAAATAAATAAAACAACCCCAACAATTGGCTCATTTTGACTCTGGTGATTTTATTTTTTTTATCACCGAAACAAAGTGTCCAAATGGTTTGAATGACTTTGACATTTAAAAAAAAAAAATCCTTTTTTCCCCAGCTGAAACAATTTGCCAAATGCTCTATTTGCCATCCACTAACTAAAAACAAAACCAAGACATTAACACCTTTCTTGTGGTTTCCTTGTTTCTTTGTTTACACCAGGGAAGTTTATCAACAAATTTCCCCTATTGCTAGGATCAGCTCCACCTGGGCCATTTTATTTTCGACAGGCTGCCTGCTGCCATGGCATGTAGGTGACAGTGAATAGGGGTGCTAGTAACTAATAACTCATCTACACTAGAGCTCCAGGGCACCCAACATAGGAGATCAGCCAGCATTAGCAGCAACAGGCCATTTCTGGCAATATTCCTCTCGGGCAGATGTGGCTTCTGTGTCTTTTCTTCCTTCCCAAGTGTGAGGTCTGTGGAACTGTCTGTGTTAATATGTTGCACAGATATTTACCTGTTAAAATCCAACAGTGGGTAAGTTGTGTGTGTGTGTGAGTGAGTGAGTGTACGAGAGAGGGAAAGAACAAATATATACATTATATAGCTTGTTTGCTTACATAGAGAAAACAGAAAGGAAACCAAGATGGCACAAATTAAACAAAAGCACAACCAGCATAAACCAAAACAGAAAACTAACCTGCTTTCCTTATGGCCAGTTAATGTAACCTTATAACGTCATATGTATTACAGCTGAACCACCAAAAAAACTACGGTCTCCACTCCCAAACATTCTGAAGCACTCTAAATACAGTATGTCCTACAAATCCCTGTCAGGATATCCTACCCTCAAAAGATTCCAAAATGCACATGTTTGATTATGGATCGCTGTTCGCCTACCATGTCACACTGTCTTTTCCCCCTTCCCCAAAAACAAAAGGAGCATTCAAACAGAAAATCCAAAGACATCAGCAAACATGGCCGTCGCAATTTTGGCTTTTGTTGCTTTTCCCCCCGGAGCGCCAGATCTACTTCTATTGCTCTATTAACATTCCATCAGAATTAATGGACTATTAAGGTGTCCCTGGAACGTTCAGCAGCACAGCAGGTCTGCTTTACCTGTACACTGCAAGGTACTTTTTGCAACATTTAATCACTTATATTACTATGCTGAAGATTCACACTGGGGGAAATAGTCAAAGGGCCTCCTATCTGTGTGTGTGTTCAAATCCTTCATTTGCATATGCAAGTTTAGCACTTAGATGCGTGTTTTGTATTTATACAATTTGTCCTTTCCCTCAAATCAATGGCAGATTTGCATATGTAAATATGTCTTTTGCTCATCCTTTTTTCCTGTCCGTGAAAGTTCATAGTTCTCATTGACATCCATGGGAATTTGAGGCTAGATCCAGTAAGCACTCTGTTCTTAAACTGCACATTAAAATCTATGGGAGTTCGGTATATAGAATATTTACAGAATCAGACCTTTTGTGCATATATGGAGTCTAATCCATTTCCATTGAAATGAATGATAAAGCTTCTGATGGCTTCAGAGAGAGCAGGATGATGAAGAGATGCCATAAATAGCAAATAAATTATCTGAGTTCTCTGATATTATTAAAGTAAATTTTTTATATAAAAGCATCAAATCAAGAATAATCTATTTTGAGCCACAAGGAATATTCCCTAATGTCCCAATCCTGCAAACACATAGGAATGTATTTAACTTTACACAAGATGTTCCACTGGAGGGATTACTCATATGCATAAATTACATATTTGAAAGTGGTTGTAGGATCAATTCCTAACTCTCCCAAGAAATGCAATTTAATTCACATCAATCTAACTTTTATTTAGAAATCACACTGGTGAGGGTCCCAAACTCATACCTTTGGTTAGAGATATATTCTGTTAGTTTAGAGTATCGTCTTTCTCAGATTTCTGAGGACAGAGCCACTCTGTCATTCATGCATACTGTAAAACATATGAGATGAACAGCTCAGTGTGGGGCCAGATCCTCAGCTGGTGTAAATCAGCATTAGCTACAGAGATGTTACTAGAGCTGTGCTGATTTGTACCAGCTCAAGGTCTGGCCCCTTACTTTTCAATCAGTTTTATGGACCATACAGCTGAAGCCAATAGTCAATGGGATTATTTTCTCATGGCCACTTCCTGGCAAACCATGTTCTTTTTATTGATATATTTACCGTTTTATTGCTTCTTCTTGTTTTCGGCGTTTTTCATTCTTTTCTTTCAAGTAAGCCAGGTTTGTTTCATTCCTCATGCGATCATTCTCTCGAGCAATGTCTGATGCATTCTGTATAACCAAGCCATCATAGGCCTTCATCCCCATATCTTCAATATACTGGAGAAAAGTGCCCAACGTGACCTCCTCCTGATTAGAACTCATCATCTTGCAGGAGATAATGGACGAAGGAAAGCAACACTTCCTGCAGGTTGAAAGACACATGATACCTTAATCAGTGAGCAAATAGCTTACAATTTATTACAGATAATATGTTGTCACCAGCAATTTGCAGCGCTTGGCAGGAAATATTTTTGAGGCCAGCCTCCTACCTAAATTTATAGCAAACAAGGCAAAACAAAAAAAAACCTCTTTTCATTTAAGTTACCCAGAACCATCAGGTTATGGACATTGTAAGTTTGTGTTATCGTGTGATCTTAATACTGTTTCTCTGCTCCCCTTTCCCTCCTCCCCTTCCAATTGTTTATTACATTCGCTAAATTGTATCTTGAGTCCTTGAGTTGATTGTAAACTCTTCAAGGCAAGGACTCTGGGTCCCTTTGTGTTTGTACAGTGCTCAGCACAGTGGAGTAAGGAGCTTACTTTAGGTCAGTATTATTATTTTTTTACTATTATTATTTTCTAATGTTTTTAAATCACACTTTGAATTGCCATTTATAAAAAGAGTTAATAAATGACTGTAACATATTAATCATAAGTAGCATGCATTGTATATGGCTATAAACATAAGGGGGTTGTAAGCCATAGTTTCAAGCAATTTATTGGACTCTATAACAATTGGTTATTTATTCATATATATTAACCATTTGTCAATCCTTTATAAATAGAATCTTCATATAAAGTGTGAACATTTTTTCTGTCTGAGGTTTTCATATAGTCTCCATCACCTCACAGTCTTTTAATGTATCTATCCTCACAATGCCCAATGAGAGAAGTACTATTATCCCCATTTCACAGAGGGAGAATTGAGGCACAGAAAAACTAAAGTAACTTGTCAAAGTCATGCAGGGTCTGGGTTGTATGAGGAGGAAGGATGGTATCATTTCTCAGACAAGGACTGAGTCTATGTAACCATAATGCAGCATAAGAACAATGCCAGGACAGTGAGAACACCTTAACTGATCTTACTGAGCAGGCAATGGGAGTTCTGTCTGAACGTGGACTGTAGCATAGGATCCACTGTTTAACTAGCATCAAAATATTTCCTCTCATTGTTATACAGTGTTATGTTTCCAGGCCCATTTCAGCATTGTTTCATGCTCCTGGATAAGTAAAATTCTGATGTGGACAGTTATTAGTTTTAAACCCAAAATGAAAATCTCTAATAGATTCCAATAATCACTGTGCACCTGTGGGCACAGCCCAGACCATGAGACAAATTCACAAAGGAAACCAAACTGGGAAAGGTAGAGGTCCTCCCCTCCCCACCAACCAAAAAGAATATTCTTTTCTGTTTAGTAATTTTAGCTGTTACTGGTAGCAAAAGTAAGTCAGGTTTCAGACGGAAATATTTTTGGTGTCCCATTAAATACAATTTCATTGCCTTTACTTCCCTTTTTTTACAAAACAAAAAATATAAATGTAAAAATGACTTTAGAGTAACATTAAAGTTGGGCAGTTAAAATCTTAAAAGTCAGAAAGGACTAAGGCCCCAGTCATGCAATCTATTTCCTGCAGGCAAGCTCTCTGCACCCATGCAGAAGTCTCCCTTTTAAATCCACTGGGGCTCTGTGTGGGCACAGGAGTCTCTCTGCATAGAACAATATGCAGGATCAGCACCTGTTTTAAGGATCTAAGAGCAGAGTCAACTTGGCAGCCTTGTTTTTGTGTAATTTCATTGGTGTTTCAACAGAAGTGAACTTGGACCAACATGGCTACGTTCATAATATTGTGAGTTATGGAACTATAGGGCATGAGATGGCAGCCCTTACTCCGACAAACCTCCTTTTGCCTTCAATTTAAATTCTGCTTGATTATGGAACACAGGACTAGACTCAGAATTGTTCCGTCTCCAGAGTTCGTTTTCTTTTAACTAGAGATTTAGAATCTAGTCCCTTCCCTTATTTTAAGGTCATTTTCATTTAGCCAAACACTTTCTGGGTACGTCTACACAGCATTTTGGAACAAGTGGGAGTGAGCCTCCCAGCCTGGGTCAACAGACTTGGGGTAGTAGGGCTCAAGCTAGCACTCTAACTATAGCTGTATAGAGAGCGCTTGGAAGCTGCGGTTCAAGTTCTGAAGCCTAGGAAGGGAGATGGACTTCAGAGCCCAAACTCCAGGCCAGACTGCAACTTCAAAGTGCTGTCTATACAGCTATTCTTAGAGCACTAACACTCGGCCCCCTAGCCTGAGTCTGTTGACCTGGGCTGGAAGGCTTGCTCCTATTCGGTCCAAAATGCTGCATACATGTACCCTTTCAGCGTACATAAAACAATAGCACATGGGGTAGTAATAGAGTTCCTTTAAGGTAAGGTTCATTCAACCACGAAATCCTGACTCCATTAAGTTAAAGGAAGTTTTGCCATTGGTTTCACTGGGGACAGAATTTCACCCTTGAAGAATATATTTACTATATGTTGATGAGGTTTTGGGGGCTGATCCAAAGTTCATTGGTCAATAGAAATACTCCCAATGACCTCAGTTGACTTTGGATCAGGCCCTAAAGAATTATTAAATGGAGAATTATTCTGATCTTTTTCACTGAGGCATGCAGAACTTAATTTATTTATTACATGTCCTCCACACGACTTGGTTACTGCATCTTATTCCGTGTTCTCTTTTTCTGAGGCTTAAAATATGCAGGCATTAAACAATATAAAAGAGCTGCTTAGCTAAGGCTCATGGTACGAAGAATTTTATTTTTTATTTATATTAAGCCCGAGGTCAAAGCAATATGGGGAAGGCAAACATACATGTGCTCAATAGAGATGAGTCTCTGTTTTGCTGTATGCAGTGGCCAGATATTTTATTATATTATGTTATTGTATTAGTCACTATTTATTACTGATCATGTAGATAGCACTGTACATTTCTTTGGTGTTTTAGAAACATAGAATAAGACACATTCCCTGCCACAAACAGTTTACAATTTAAGGATGCAATTTTGCAAACACTACTGATCACAGTTCTAACTACTGTCATAGTCCCATTGAAGCCCACTCCTGCAATCACTTTATACTAAGCAAATCACTGTCTGCTTAGTCCCAAAGGATTCAGTGTGTTGTATTGACATCCGTGGCACTACATATTAAAATAAGTTGTGAGATCAGTAGCAAGTGTTTGCTGGATCAGATCCTCAGTATCTGGTATAATTTTTGAATTTTGCAATCTCATGGCATTTGCCAGTATTTGAAACTTCTATCTGCCATGCTTAAATAGGGCATAAACTTCAAACAGCTGGGACCAGTCAAAGCTTAGAGTACGTATTACTGTAAACATTGTTACTTTATTAATCTATCCAGTGTAATAAGACAGACTGATTTTTGTTAATGCACAATTGTGGCGCTTCAGACATTTTATTACTTGAATATCCAGACTGGTGAGAATGTGTAACCAATACATGTGGCCCTTTGAGTCATAATATACATGGTCTGTCACTCTCTCTTGGTAAGGTAGGTTGTGGACAACCCTGATCAACTGCTGACCAAAGGTTTTAATTTCTGGTAAACTCAGACAACAAACCATTTCCAGCCATCTATCAGAGGAGAGAAAAGTCAAGCAAGTATTCTGTTTGAGTACATTTACATTTGATTACACATCTGTAAATCACTAAATATGTAATGTAAGCCTGAGGTGAGGCAACATTTTGTCACCCCTGTTGTGCATATAGTGCTCCTGGAGTTTTAATTAGCTGGTGATGAGGGGAGGAGACTCACAGGGCCACTTGCATAATCAACTTGCTTTCAGTGCATTTGATTTCTGAATCCGGAAAATACTGGCTAATTGTGACATGGAGATCGCGTAATTTGGAAAATTCTCTTATACCACTTTCCACCCCTCTCTGTGTGGATATATATACATGGGGAGGGGGCTGTTTCAAAAACACCTAAATGTCAGCCTAATTCTGCTCCCAGTGAAGTCAGTGGTATGGAATGGTAATAAGTCAATGCCACTGATTTCATTGAGCACTTTTGGCAATCCATCCTACAGTGAGGACATAACTAAAAAGGTATCCAAGGCATACACTTCATTTCATAAAAATTACATGAAAGGCAAATGTGTCAATTACAATAAATCTGGTCATTTTCTCAAGTGTAGCTGTATATGCTGGATGATTTGGCAAGCCTATAAAGACTGGTCCAATATTTATCCCCATAAATGTGCTATGCTACTGTGAATACCATTATATTTATTAATGTACACAATAGAATAGAATGCAAAAATGTAACAAATTGATGTTCCATAATATCAATGAGTAAGCATTCTGGGGAGGGCCTTGGAAGTTAATCGCTGTACATTAGCAGGACAGTTTTTTGCAGTTCGGGCAGGATAACCCCTTCTTCAAAAAACATCAAGATCTGAAAGTCTCATCACCTTCTTCTCTCCTCCAAGTCAAAGTTGAGAGACATTATGAGGGCAACATGGAGAAGCTTACAGTGACACTGCCCATGCAATCAGCTGTCCGCATGAAAGAAATTAAATTAGATTTTTGCCAACTCTTCTACAAATGCATACAGTTTACTGGCAAGTGCAAGCAGTTCCCTGACTGATTTTTGCCTATTAACAGGACTGAATATAAGAGAATTGTAATACTTCAGATGTGATTTCTGAAAATGTGGGTAAATAATGCACGGTGTTTCACAAAGCTGCTATGACATACTCTAGTATATCTTTATACATTTGAAATACAATTTCTATTTGATCTGATGCATAATATACAGAATCCTAGTATTAAAAAACTAACACCATCCAGAAAATGCACAATCTATGTGTGAGGAATGCTAAAGTCAGACTACTAAGTGCAGTGATTGCGTGTAATATCATGCTGTTGCTATGTTGTAAAATTCAGAGAAGTGGCTCCACCTTTATTCATGGTTAGGCCACCCCAAGAATCTTCACAGTTGCTTTTCACCCTGCCTGATAGCCTCAAAATGCAGCTGTGCTACATTGAAAAATGGCAATGTTGATGTTAAACTGAAAGAGCTTGTTTAAATAGTGACAAAGGCGCTGATTGCTTTCTTCTCAAATCAATGGGAGGCATTTTGTTTTTTTAAACATAGGAGGACTAAGGCTGACAGAACTCAACAGTGATGTAGTACATGTCATGAATCCAACCCTGGATTCGTGGGGGATATGTATTCCACTTCATTCCTGCTTTACTCCCTGCATACTCACGCTCCTCTCTTTTACACCCCATTCACTCTAGTGTTACTTGTCAGCTATCTCAGCAAAATGCAACATTTCAAAAGCATTTTGCACAGATCAAGAATGCTAAATTGCCACCCTGCCCTTTGAGTTTGTGCTGCAGTGTTCCAGTAGCTTGCCAGGCAATAAGTGCAAAGTAAACAGACCACATCTGATTTTCACAAACTGCTGACTACAGCCCCATTAATAAAGGCTTCATGGTATTAGGGGGTAGACAGTATACTTTTCCCTCACCAAAAGAAGCAACTGCAAATACATCAGCAAATGGAAAGAGACGCTGCCTTCCATGAAATCGCTTCTATACCTCTCATAATATTTCTACCCCTGTGCCAGGCAAGCTTCCATATGTTAAATATTTGATCTGATTAATTGTTTAAAGGAGAAGCATGAACAAGCAATGCATCAATAAAAGGCAAATAATGAACAGGCATGTTGTTTGCCTAAGTAGTATTACACTAGATTCTAATGTCAAATAGAGAGCAAAGTCTCTATGAATTAGGCACTCAGGCTTTCCTAAGTCGTACCATGTAGTTTGATCATTTTTTTTTATTAAATAGAAGCTAATTTAGTCTTAAATGCAAATAATTTTTACAAGTTATCTTTGCTAAGATTACATACTATCCATCTTGCATCATTACACTGCACAATATGAGTGATATGCACCAGCACCTGAGTGAAAGACACAGAAGCTAAGTGATGCTAAAACCTTCACTTGAAGAGGTTAAAACTGGCTCTTTGGGAAGAATAAAAAAAAACTGCTATGTATATTTAAGAAAGTATCCTGTGGCTATAAACTTTCACCTTTCAAGTGTAAAGGTCATTTGATCAAGAGTTTAAAAAAAAAACAAAAAAAAAACAAAAACCTTGGAATTTGAGTCACTTCATGCTGCATTTTGGGCAGCAGAAAGATCATTGCCTACAATGTCTCCTCTCTGCTTTAGAATTTAGAGAGCTGTTGTTTACTTTGCAATAAGACACTTTGATCAAGGTGCCTTTTCAAAAAGATAGAATATGTTTCATCCAAAATACATGTATTAAAATGTAACAAATCTGCATTCGTAACAGCAAGCATTCGGTGTAATTATGAGATTTAGATTATCCTTATACTACTGGGGAGAATTAGAAAAACATTACGGGCAAACATATATGTGTATTTGAACTCAGAAGAAAGAAAGAAAGAAAGAAAGAAAGAAAGAAAGAGCTTCTTTTGTATGTGATTTTTTTCCTCCCTTAAGAAAATGAAATGGAGATTTTACTACTAAGAGTAATGTATTAAAATGTTGTAAAATATTAATAGTGTGGCATGTCTGATAAGTAACTAACACAGATGTTATGAATCATATCAATTAATACATCAGAATATAGCAAAGAATGTTTTTAATAATTTAGCTCTGCTTTTTACAAATGAAAAATCCAGCTCAAAATGTTCCTATTATAAACATAGCTAATGTGTGTAGGTACATAAAAGAGTCTGAGATACATTTACAGCATTGTTTAGTTGAGGAATAGTTTGATTAATCTGCCAAAAAAGATAAGCAAACTTTGGCATTAGACATCCCTGACTACAAATTATTCCAGTTTTGTAAGTATAATTTTTTTTAACCTTCTCTAATTAGCACTGTATTCTATTAACATGCTCAGAGAATTTTTAAAAACATGTACATACCAAAATTTAAGTCCACGGGGACTGCTAAGTGCAATAATCAAAGGTGACTTTTGTCTGTAAAAGCCCTTTCCTGTGGTTATCTCAGTGCAGTCTGAAGGAATATTTCAGCACCATAAGAAACAGACTTGCAATTAGGCTCAGTTTTTCTTCAGTTAAAGTGCATTAAATCTTGTTGGCAAAGATGCCCAGATTGTAGAATTCTGCATCACTAGAAGTCAGTGGGTATGTTAAAGATCTTCTTGGTATAGGATTAAAATGGCCTTTAAAGTTTGGCTTTTAAAAATGCAGTGGCAAGAGAAGACAGGTGCTTGCTTCTTTAAATCCACATTCAGAGAACAGAGGGCATAGATAATGGGAGGGTACAAATAGCACCCTGCTTTCGGTCCAGCTGAGAAGAAACTGGATGATGTTTACCCACTTTACAACGTAGAAGATTACACCACCGTCATATGCAATAACACAGAGATTGCTAAGGTGCCTCATTTGAATGTATTCTGTGGAGACAAAAATAAATGAAAGAAAGGAATAGAAAACATCCTATCCAAATGGCTTCTTGCAGCAGAAAAGATGCTCTCTCTCTCATTGCCACTCAGATACAGAAGGTTTGAAGCAGTCTAGCTTGTGGCATCGTCTCTCTCCCCCGTGACTTACAGGCAGGCTTGCTCTCTCCAGCTGCCTTAGTCTGTTGATGCTGCTGTTGATTAATCAGGGATTCTCAAACAAAGAGCAAGCCTACCTTCTGATATAAGTAGTAATCTGGTTCTCCTCTCTTTCTGCAATCCGCTTGTATTCAGCAGCCAAGCAGCCAGCATTCTAGTACCTTGGATAGTTCCTGCTCACTAGGCCCATTGGAAAACGGTTGAGAAGAAGCAAGTGAAGAAATGACAAGAGACCAGAAAACAGCATCATTCTACTTCAGATTTCAGCTCCCGGGGGTTCAGTTGTTCATTAAAGCCTCCTATCTAGGCAACAGATCTCTCTCTTATCTCCACTGTACTGTAGTCTGATTAGCAAATAATCCAGTGGAAAAAAAATCTGCATGAACAACACCGTACATCATATTTAGCCTCTGTAGGTAGGAAAGAATATGAAACACACACACCTTAAAAGAAAAAAAGAAAAAAACCTGTTCTTCCTCGGAGAATGTGTAAGTTAACCTTTAGCCCATGTTATGGCTCAAGGAAATGAGCAGCCACTTCAACGGAACATCTAGGTCTCAGTTTGATACCTCATATTGATATATCTTTTGCACTCACCCTCACTGTAAAGCAGTGCAAGGCACACAATTACTGCTGACGCAGATTAGGCTGCTGCTTGGGGAAAGATGGGAGGAGCTTTTTAACCTCATCAAAACAACCTTCCACCACCTGCTCCCATTGCATGAGAACAAAACTATCCTGCTTGGACAGAATAAGCGTGATCTGTATGCTGCTTGCTTTTTTTTTTTTTTCCCCCATGAGAGACGCACTCAAATCCAGCATGCTGCATTATCAATATCCAGAACATAACTATGCAGTTTTATATCTCCCTAAATTTGCAAACTTACTTTCTCAAGGAAGACTTTTATTTGTGTTTCTTAATTTTTCACCATATAATTTTATTTGCTCATCTTCTATTTGCTCTTCCTTGAATTAATGCAGCTCATCTTTGTCACTCAAAGCTGCTAGATCAGACACAAAGCAAAGGCGCTCAGTCCTAAACCGTGAAGCCAGTGAAAATGGAGATGTCAAAATGTACACAAGAATGTAAGTTACACCGTTGTCTAACTTCAATTCCTTCCCCCCTTTCCTGCACCCCCCCCGCACACTGAATCAGTCACTTCTTTACCTTGTGTGAATTTTAAATCTAATAGTATACTAATGTTTGAGTAATTTTAGAAAAAAATAAGAAGTGAGGCTCACTGGATAAACTCCCATCAAATTGGTGCATATACACTGCAAAAGCAATATTACTACACACCTAAATACTAGCAATAAGCAGCCCCTTAGACAGGACACACACATACCTTACTGGTAGGAATAATTTGTGCAGATTCATTATGTCTTTGCTGGAACATTGGAGTGTGCTCTGTTTAGGCACTTCTGATATGCACCCAGAAGCTTTAACTGGAGCAAAAGCTAACTGTAAGCTTCCTGAATAGTGGAATAACTTGATATGTGAGCTGCAGCCTGAGAAGCACATGCTACTAAAAATTGTTTAAACAGTAATAATAAATAATTCAGTTACAATGTACTTTGTGAAGGTGGCTGTGCCAGGACACTCAGGTTTGGGGTGCACGCCCGCATCCCACTGCACCTGTTACAGTTTATGGATCCTTTAAAACTGGGAGCTATAGTTTCTAGGTCATGTGCTTGCCTCTTAGTCATGTGCCCAACAGGAAATTTCATATAATGCTGTCAGGCAAGGGAGCAGGCTGGAGGGACCTGGGGGGAGAAGAGGACTGGGAGAGACCCTGCACCTGTCAGGTGGAAGGCCTGGAAAGGACACACCTGCAGGAAGCAAGAGCCAGCTGGAGAGGGCTGTAAGGACCATGAGCATCCGGAGAAAGGGACTAGGACAAGAACCTGAGGGGCAGTGAGTGTTTGGGTTGCTGTGTTTTTGCTTTTAACTTCATAAAGAAACTTCCTGAGAAGAGGAATTGGGATTGTGCTGTTTGGAGCATTATTTCCCCTTCCTCTGGTGGTGGATCAGTCCACTCACTTACAGTGGAGTTAAGATCGCTGCCAGATCATAGTGCCTTGTGCTCTGCATGTTCTTCCAGAATTTCAGAGCCCTCAAACTCTGCACTTGAGAACTAGGACATGCTCATTTAAGATCCTTCCATGTACCTCTAAGAGAACCTCACTGTAAACTTATTAAAACCCGAGAAAACCAGGGACTGCACAGCCAAGGGAATGCTTACAACCCAGTATCTCGATCAACCTTAACTCTGTCCCCAAAGGCAGGAGAGAAGAGATGTCCCTCAAGCTGACTCGGGAGCAGAACTAGCAGCTCCCTCCTTGAATCAGCTTCTGCCCACGTCAGAGCGTGAGCTTCAACTGGGAGAGCAGAGTTGTGATGGAGAGCCTTGGAATGGAATGGCTAGGGGAAAGGGAATACGTTCCCCAAGGCTGGAGGAAGGGCATAACTGAGGGACAATCAGGGAGGTCCTGTGATTATGCGTGGGTGTGGGGAGTGAGGCAGCGAGAGAAGTATGCTGCCAGGGTAGAGGGACGTCTCTATCCCTGCATCTCTGCCACTTCCATCCATGACACCTGTGACAGAGAGCTAGGAGCCTAGAGCTGACCCAGCACTCTGGTACTAACTCTTTCCCCCTGGAGTAGACTTAAGTGGAGATGGGTGCTCAGTGGCTAAATTAGGCAGGGGACTAACAAGCTAATGAGAGCAATCAACCTATCAGATGGGAACAGTTAAAAGTCAGAAGGAAGTGCAAGGGGGAAGCTGGCCAGGGCCAGGAGATACAGGATCTCAGGATGAGGAGATATTTCTTCTCCCTCCCTGGAGTGTCGGCTAAGGGGGAAGTTTATGTCCATTTATATGTTGCTGCACAAGGTTGTACACTCTTGAACTGTTGGAGGGGAACTAGTAAATAACACACTGCTGCTTATAAACCTGGAAAGCATCCAGCCTGTTTGTGTTGGTTCAAAGGGCGGAGAAGGGAGCCTGTTTGCCCCCCGCTCCCCTTTTCAGGAAATACTCCCCCAGCTCTGGAGGATCTGGTCTGGCTTCAAGAACCAAGTCCCAGTCTGGTGGACCATCTATGGTTGGCTAGCTGGGGACAGCTGCTGGTGGAGTTGAGCATTAGCTGTCCTCCTGATAGAGCTTCCACACCAGCTTCCTCAGTCTGAGCATAACAGGGACCATGGAGGGGACAGAGACAGGGAGAGTTGGTGCTGAAACTGTCAGGACATCAGCTGACAACTCAGCCATAGACTCCAAGCTGTAGTAGTTGCCCGTGTTCCACAGAGCGGGCAGTAGCATGGAGTACAAAAAACGAGTCACTCAATGTTTTAATATTCCAAGTTGTGCACCTTTCTTGGTAGTATGCCCTTGTTCCCACCACAGAGAAACTAGGGATGTATTTTTTCTCTCCTGCTCACTATTTTTAACTGAGATGTAGGCAAAAATATGTGAGAAGACTTCTGAAATATTAACAGCTCAAGAATCCCTAGTTCAAATGACTTCATATCCCCCCCACCCCCCTTCCAAATTCTACCCTGGCTGCACACCTGACCTAAAAAATTTCAGGCCCATCTGACTTCTTTTGTGTGTTTCTCTCACAGGGAGATACAATAATCAGCTTTAAAAAGAAACTGAACTGCAACCTGGATCATGCAGTGGTTAGCTGCCACTCCTTAGTGATGACAGGGACTATGGTCAAGACTGGAGCATACACAAAACCATATTTGCTCAACATTTCAATGGCCAGATCTCCTGTGGAAAACGGTATGCATATGGGCATCACATCAGTCAGTTCTGAAGTGTAATACTCCCCTCATGATGTTGCTGTGTGCCACATTTCTGGTGGTCACTTATTGTACAGCATCTTGCCTGAATCTCACACTTTAAAATTAATTTGATCTATATGCACTGAGCTTCCACCTACCAAAAGCCCACAGTCTCCACTATACAGCATTCTGAGCGTACTCTGTGTTAGACTAAGGACATGCCACCGGGTGTGAAAACCCCACAGTAGGCCAGGGCACGAAGGGGTTAATAATCTGCCATGGAAATGGGGACTGAGATCAGCTCCCCTTTGCAATACCTGCCAGAAACTGCAAGCCCAGAGGAAGAGCTGCCGTGAGTAAGGAAGGTCTCAGAGTATAAAGGGAACAGGACTGGCCTCAGCAGCGGGCTGCTCTGCCAAAGGGCTGACCTTCCTTCCAGACTCCAAGAGAAGCCTGAAGTCTGCAGCCAGCAGATCAAGCAAAGGGCTTCTCTGGGGAAGGGAAGGCTCATTTTACAGGCTATTTGACCACTCAGAGTGGGGCAGACTGTCCAGCTCTCCCTGACATAAGGGGAAAGCTAAGGACAAACTGCTTACAGGTTTTTGTGGTTCTGACTCACTCTCCAAACTTGGCCAAGCGAGACATATTTGAAAAACTGCCATCTGCACATGCTCAGTAAAAACTTCTAAGGTTTTAGCAGCAAAAAAACTCAGAAGATTCCATCCTCAATGAGCATACTCAAGCCTCTCTCAGCTCCTAGCGCTGACCGGGCTGCACATGTGCACCCCTACAGAGCAACTAAGCATGCTTCATCCCCTCACAGCTGCTAGCTGAGAGAGACCATGCCAAACATGCCATCCCTACACAGTGACCAAGCATGCTCTAGCCCAGGGAAACAGAAGCAAAGCTAGACTTCACCCGTAATGGCTGCTCCCAGCTACTTGGGACCAGGCACTGGAAATAAGAGCAATGAGCCTGTCTCTAATGTGCTCTTAGTGACCCCCCACACACACACCCAGGCCTAGGCATCATGGAGGAGAAAAGCAACTAAGTCTAATGCTGAGAGGTCAAAAACCAGACCAGCAGGGAGGGAAAGGAGTAGATTGGAGAAAGACTTTTAAACTGGGACTGGAGAGGGAGTGAGAAACTCTCTGGAACACACTGGGCAAAGAGATTGGGACCAGGAGCCAGTGAGGGAAATGGGGGTGAGAAGTGGGAAACCACTGAGGTCAGACAAGGAGCTGGAGGGACAAGGAATCTGGGACTGGTGAGACAAGGAGACTGGGACTAGAACCAGTGGAGAGGACAGGGAGGGAAGACAGGTACAACAAGGAGCTGCAGTGCAGAGGCAGAAATGTGACTGGCTGGGCAAAGAGACTGTGGCAAGCAGCCTGGAAGGAGAGAGACTAGGGCAAGGAGCCAGGAAGGGATTGGAGAAGGGGACTGAAGTGCTTGTTTAGTCCAGGGAGGTGGATGAGGACTGGAAGTCAGTTGTGGGGAGGGGGAAGAGACAGATCAGCTGAGGCACCAGGAGAATGAAAACTGGAACTGGTTGGGCCAGGAGACTGGGACTGGAGTGTGAAAAGCCTGGAGACTGGGTAGTCAAGGAGAATGGAACTTTGACAAGGAGACAGAGGCAGGGAAGAGACAGGTTGGAGAGGATGGAGCAGATGAGGTCAGGTTTGAGGGGAATGGGCAGAAGAGTCTGTGTTCGCTAGGACACACGCCCCTCCAGAGACTGGAATGGAACCCAAGATTCCTAAGTCTCCCCTTTCCTTTGCTGCCAGCAATCTCATCTGCAAACACCAATTCAACTACCTTCTCTGGGTGGACAA